ACAAGACAGCCAAAAAATTTTTGTTTTTCAGTTTGTCAGACTATGAGCGTTAATGCTGCCACTACACTAACACAAAGTAAATGTGTTATTTAGTCTATAATACTGTTTTAAGTTTACCGAGCAGCTCCTTCCGTGTGCGGCTGGCTATCTCTTTGATCTCCATGCGGGACAAGGAAAGCGAGTGTGTGGCGGAGATGAGGGGCGTCGGGGGCACCATGGCCGGGGCCGGCGTCGTCAGCACCTTGTTGACCAGAGGGGACTTCAGCGGCCGTTCAATGCTGCGGCCCACCAAGTTACAGAGTGGGATCTTGAAGATGTGCTTACACGCAGCTTCACCTGGGAGGAAGAAACCCGCAGGAGGAGAAGGATGGAAAAAGGAGAAGGCAGTGAGGAGTCAGAAGAGTAAAGAAAAGGCATGAAGCAAGAAGTAAAAAGAGCAGAGATGGGAGCAGGATGTCAGAAAGGAGAAGATTGTGTGGAAGTTAATGAAAAATGTACAAAATTTAGAGTTGTTTATATCACATTTGAGCTTATTAGTGTTTCAAGATCTTTTCAAACTTCCTATTCAGCCACTGAATGTTTTGTTTTTAATGTATTTTCCTGTTAATATTACTTCATCGCTGTTTTAAGCAGAGACTACATTCTTAAGCTGTGGGCTACCTGAACGGAAAAACAACCAGTTTTTTCCGTGGTGTCCTCGCCTCAGTTAGTGCCCCTCATGTATTAATATTAGCTCAATTTCCTTCATGACTTTTATTTACAAGATTAGTTTTCAACTACTAAATCAATTGGCAACTATTTTCACAATTTGGTGCTTTGAGTAATTTAAAAAAAAAAAAAAAAGAGAGAAGGAAAGTCTAAATTCTCTAAATCCAGCTTCATAAATCTTAACATTTTCTAGTTTCTTCACTCCTTTGTGACAGCAAATTAAATATCTTTCGGTTGTGGACAAACAAGATATATCAGGAAGTCGTCGTGGGCTTTGAAAAACACTGTTCACTATTTTCTGATGTTGTAAAGGCCAAACAACCAATCAAATAAGGAACAGAAGTAAGCTTAAGTTGAAGAACAAGCAGCTTGTGAAATACCTCAAAAATCTTCTATCTCAACGCAATTAAATATTCTGTCTGCTGCACAAGAAAAAGGCTATTTTACCAAGTTGCAAAGCAGTTTTCTAAACCAAGCAAAGATTATAAATTGGCCAGATATCTTGATAAACAAAGTAGCAACCTGTGAAAGTCTTTGATTTTTTTTTTCTGTGCAGTGGGCAGTATATTTTTATCCAGACGATTTTCAGGCTTTATTTAATATGTAAAAAATGATGCTTATCTCTGTGAATCTAAAACAGCCAATACCAAAACATGAGAAAGACAAACTGGGGCCTAGCTATTTATCAGTTCTCACTCTTTGAGCTAAACTAATCAGGTGTCTTTGCTTCACATTTCCTAAAATGTCAAACTATTCTTTTAAAACTCTTCCTGTGGTGCGTTCAAGGACCCTCTTACATTGGGATGGCGGAAGACTTGTTACAACACAAACAGCAAGCAAACATACTGTAGATGTTGGTAAAGGAATAATTCACTGATTGAAAAATAGTCCTTGAATGCACCAAGGAAGAAAGCTGTCTAAAAGACAATGACTGCAGCTGCATGTTTCTAAAATTTCAGATCAGTAAAGTCAAATTAATGGCTGCTACAAACAAACAAGTTTGGGTTTTTGGAAATAGTCAGCAACACTATTAAGTACATGTGCAAATTCACCTGTGTTGTGCGTTTATATGAGCCTAAACTCTCTCTGACTTGCACACTGACAAGCTGATGCAATAAATTCAAGCTTCCATATTCAGACGAACTCTAAAGTGATTAATAGTCCTATTTACGAAAATGAATCATCCTTACAACAGAGAGCTAATGCAATACAACTGCTCAGTAGCCATTTATTGCACACAATCTATTATTCAGCAGAGACTATAAAAGCTGAAAGTGGATGTTTGGAGGTTTTCAAATGACACAATCTGCCCACAAAGCTGCAGCGCGTCGGCCTGCAGTGCCCGATTGCGCCACCGGGGAGCAGCATTGGAGTTCAGCAGCGACACGCAGCTCTATGGAGGCAGGCTGATGGCAACGCGGATGAGAATGAATCAAAGTGGAGGCTACGCTGCACAAAGAGGACTGTCTCATCTGTAATGCCAGCGGGTGAGAGGGGAGTAAAGAGCCATGGAGGAAAAACAGAGGGTCACTGCTGATGTTTGACAGGTACACTGTGTTAGTGCCGTTACAGATCCGCTCTCATGTACCTGCGCTGTCACACAGCAAGAAAACAAAAAAAACAAAAACAGAGCCAAAATACGAGAAAGCATGCAGTTATTCGGAATATACAAATCGTGGAGATCAATATATTCCACATGCGTTTCTGCACCAGGGGGGTGTGTAAGACTCCATCGCACTGGCAAATGAATTACATGTTAGGGATGTTTTTAGCCCTAATTGAGGTCGAATTCTCCAGGAGCTGGTTGAAGCCAGTGGACGGTAGATGGTGGTCAGCAACAGCTTCTTGTTCACATTACTGATGCCATTACATCAGATGAAAACCTCCCCAAGGAGCAGATACAGCAGGCAGTTAGAGGATGGGATTTTTGTCAGCACCCCTTCAACCTTTTTCTACCCCCCCCCCATCAGACTGTGGCACCGCTGTTTGGATGGACCACCACTTTGGATCGAAGAGAGGGCTGACAAAAGTCTCCATGGCGACAGTGCAATCTGTAAATCATGCTGCGGCAGACGTGTCTTCTCCTTCCCTCTTTCCCTTTTCTCCCTCCTTCCCTCCCAGCCTCCTGCTTGTACACAACCCCTCCCTTTCCTTCTCGTGCATACCTTTTTTCTGCATCTCCTCCTCTCTTTACCCCCCCCTCCCTCTGACTCTGAAACCCTCTGCCTTGACTGACGTTATCACCTCTGCCTCACTTTTTACTTTGCGCTCTATCACCTTTTTCCCTCTTCCTCTCGTTCTCTCCCCACGCTAATGCTTTAATTAGTTAAGACAGAAAGAGAGGGGGGAGGGGGGGATGGGGAAGACATAATGTTCACTTAACATTCAACCAACGTTCAAGTCAACATGCCGCCTTCGGAGCAGACAGGGTGATACACTCTGGGAGCACGTGCATGTTAGTGGGGCAGCAATATGAGTGTTTTCATGAGCTGAGGACAAGTTGTGGGAGAATCCTGCAGTACCTTCGGCATCCTTAGACATGTACAGGGAAAGCTTGGTACCATAGGGGATCCGTATAGAATCTGAACCAGGGATGAAGAAGAGGGTTACACAAACTGAACACACACAGTAACATACATTTCGGCACACACACACACACGCACACACACACACGCACACAGCAGGTTCTCTGTTGGGTCCAGGACCCCCCGTGGATGCAGAGTTATATGCATAACCAGCTAAAACAGAAAAAAAGAAAATGAGAATCCCTTTGAGAGAAATGATTACCCAAACCAGGCTAAAAGCATAAACCCCGTCCTCGGCTAATTGCAGCAGCAACATCCAAGCCTTGCTCCCTGTTAGCATTAATGGGGCCTGTAAATACCCGCTCCCCTCAGGAAAACATTGCCTTGATGTTGCAGCAGCAGGTACACAACCATTTTAATCATTGTTTTCCTCAAGACTCGTCCTTCTCTGCAGCCATCAGAACTACGAGGACACATTTGTGTCCCTTTAACCGCTAGAAAGTCTAATGAAGAAAGAGGAGCCGACTAATCCATCAGTGGGTCGGCTCGCAAAGGATGACAAACCTGCGTGTTATTAACATGAGGAGGTCAGGAACAGGCCGAGGAGAGACTGAATGGTCAAATATACAATGAAAGATGGAGGGGAGAGTGAAAATGGGCTAAAGGTGGGAGGGGCTCTTATTGATCCTTGATCATCCTTGAAAGCATTTCTGAGCCTCTCAGGACACCTTCTGTGTCCCTCGTATGGTGGCGGTGGGAGGTATGCTGGTAATTAGTCTGCTACTCATTTGGTGATTTGCGGTTTGTAAGAATTAAAAGCTCATAATGATGTGTTCATATGTTTTAGCCCTCTGACAACAAACCACAGTTACATATTTTCCATCGTTTTTCATATCATTTATTTTGGATCGAACTTTTGTTGCAATAATAAGCCTCCATCCATTGAACTATGGAACGGAAATCAATTTGTACCTATTTGGACGCTGTGCAACACATGTAATCCATCATCGCAGACATTTTGCTGCCTTGATTTTTTTTGTCAGCACCCTGTGGTTCTTTAGTTAAGATTAGATTATACAGCATGTTTTCAAAACTAGTACGTGCAAGGATTCACCAAATTCTGAGAGTCTGAAGCATAAGTCTGGTGGTTTTCTCTTCTCTGGCTATAAAAAACAGCAACAATAAATCGATAAATTCATTGTTGGTGAAATTATTAAATAATCAGACAGGTATTGTCTGTTAATCCAAATGACATCACTGCTCCAAAACATCAATGAGCCACACTGTTGAACTGGACTCATTCATTACGATGAACAATTCCACTCTAATTCAATCAGAGTCACCCCCACATACACCAAGCACAGTGGCAAACAAATGTGTTCTTTTCTAATGTTTGTGTCAGAAGTCACTGAAAGTCTTTCCACTCCTTGAACCCCAAAACCTGCCGGTGCATTTGAAAAGCATGTTGTTTTTAAAACTGCCAAAATTACACCATGAACCAAAGCCAGAAACTGTTAAAACAGAAAGTATTGTCAGATTTTCAACTCTCTGTCGATATTTAAACTATTTATATGAGATGGGCTGTTTTGTCCAGAAATATGACCAAATCTTTGCACAAACTTGATTCTGTAAAAGCCTAAAAATTCTGGGCTTCAGGGACTTCTTGGCTGAACAGTAGGCTGTGTTTAGACAGAGCAGATAGCAGCATAAAATGACTACTTAAAATGGAAGTAGTAAAATATCGATAGCGTGTAGAGTCATTATGTTGTCCAGTATTGCTCCTGGGATTGAGTTCTTTCTGTTTCTAGCCATAGTGGTGCTGTTTCCATCGAGGTGCACGACTTTATATTGCAGTAAAAAAAATGAGCCTGCAGTGAAGAAAGATGTGAGAAGAGCAAAATACACCCAGAGAGTGGTTGGAGTTCAGGGGGTTAAATGGAACATTAAATTGTGTCTGGCTGTAAAGATTTATATTTTTAGTAGGACCCAGTAAGGAAAGTCAGATAGAAATGTAAGACAGACTAGCACGTTGTTAGTTTTGGCCTTTTCATGGGATATGCTTTACATTAAGATATATATTAAAATACGGAATTTTTTTTAAATGCACAAAACAAAATGTATGCTCATGCTGGTCTGTTAGATTTTCTGACAGCAGAGCTCATTAACGCTCATCCTTGATCAACTCTTGGATGTCAGTGGATCCTCAAACACACCAGAAAGGCTTCAAATGACAAAACGTAAAAGAAACAATTAAGAAAAAGGGTTTCGTGTCTCGTGTTAAAATGCTCTACCCTTTGGGAGCGTTAAAGTCGTTGCAAGAACAACTTTTCATATTAAAATAAATGGAAGCCAATGGCTGTTTGAAAGGTGGGATATTAATGTGAAATCTTTGAAAATGGTCAGATGTAATGGAAAAAAACCAACCTCAAATATTTAAATCTCTTAGCAGGGTTACATAAGTTCTTGTTTTTGTAGAAGGAGACTTGTTTCCGAGATGCCACTATGAAATGCCAACACTGAGGACATTTTAATATTTGTCATGAGACTAAGTTATGTCAGTGTGATACAGTTAGAAAAGATGAGGTAATAGTCATGGGAGAGATGAATGCAATAAAATATATTCCCGTAATAAAAGAATACCACATGATTAAACTGTGAGAAACTAACTGTAACCCTGGAGGAGGAAGGCTGCTGCCTGGCTGAGGCTTTCTGCTGAGACAAGTTTATGTAAATGTCTGTGGAGCTCTGGGCTAAGAAAGCATCCAAAGTCAAACATGATCTGCAGGCAACGATGACATATTAAAACCTTTAACATCAGAGTTGTAAAATCAACATCCGCCAGCGCTTTCTGCTGCGTGGGGCTTACCGTCACCGAGCGGCGAAGGGAACACGGGCATCTCGTAGCCGGTGGGCGTCTGTGGGGAACTCTGGGAGCTGGTGTCTCTGGAACTGCAGTTGGAGGCTGAGCTCACCGGAGCCGACGAGACGAAATAGATGTCCGACTGTGGGTGGAAAAACAGAAGCACGGGGAGAAGAAGTGAGATCAATACGGAGATGGTGAACATGTAGAAAAGACAGAAAATATTAAGAAGAAAAAAGAAAAAAAAGAAAAAGAAAAACAAAAACAAAGAGACCAAACGAGGTAATTGTTAGATGGCAGGTGCACTGTGTTCTCCTCTAAATTATCTGTGTGTGTAAATTATAAGTGTATTATTGCTTTGTAGCCATGCAGATTGCCAGTCATATTTCCCACTGGGGTAATAAAGATTGATTGAAATGAGAGAGCTGAGACAGCTACTTCCATAACACAGAGTGAGGCCTTCTAACACCGGAAACATTCACCAGCAGAAGGACTCCTGCTGTAGTGAAACCAAATATGCTGCACACACACATGTATGACGTAGATCTTCTGCCTAAACACATAATTCCAAAACCAACTGAGATGTATACAATAAAATAATTGTAAATACGACGTGCAGTATGCATTGCTGGTGAAAACAGCGCATGGAAGTATGATGTTGTGAAGCACACTGACCCGTGAAGCAGCCAACTGTAGCTCCGGGACCACCGCTGTGTACACAAGGTTTCCATTGACCACCAGTCGGATCTCGATGGAGTCCGTTGTGAAGGCCAGGATGTAAGGAAATGCACAAACTGCAAAGACAACATAAAAACAAGCATAAGATCAAAAGGAGGCAACACGGAGCACCAAGACTCAACCAAGTCTGAAAAACAAGAACGAAAAATGTTTTTGAATTTGCCCAACTTCCACCATAGGACACGTTAAATACTGCATTTTGAAATGTAATCATTAGTGTGCGGAAAAAGAAGAGTGTCAGGCTAAACTCCTCTCCTCCAGATGCTCCTTCTTTCTTCTGCTCGATGTGAAATGTGCAACAAGGTGAGAGCAGAATGTGGCACAGCATGGAGGACAGTGTCGGGAAAAAAGGGAAAGAAAATCTGAAAAAGCCTCAAACGAACATCTGACAGGTGCAATTTGACAGCAGGAGCTTGAGCCTGAACGACGAGACATTTCTAAATCCCAAACAAAGAGCTAAAAGGTGGACCAAGTGAAAGCAACACTGAATATGGACAGAATAGGTAAAAAAGTAGAAATTGTTTCTGCTTTTTTGAAAATTTTGGACAAGTAAACTGATAGAATTAATAACACAATGGTTGAATAACACTACAAAGGAAACTAGCTTTTTTAAAAATCATTTATTATTTATAAAAGTAAGCACTCTTGGCATCAGAAACTAGTATCTTGTAGGCAATATGAATAATTGTCCACCAGCCTCTGACGTCAGCGTGCTGATATTTTTGACCACTCTTCCATTCAAAATGCTTTCAGTTGGAAGATATTTGAGGGGTTCCTGCATTCACCCACAGCGTCTGTTGTGGCCGTTCTGAGGCCAAACAACTCCATCTTTGATTCATCTGTTAAGAGCACATTAGTCCAAAAGGCCTGCTCTTTGTCTAAACGCTCGCTGGCAAACCGTAGTTTTGCTCTAATGCTCTTTTTGGACTGAAAAGGCTTTTTTTTTCCTGGCACACCTCCCATGCAGGTCAAACTTGTGCCATCTCTTTCTTATTGCAGACACGTGCACTTTGACTGCAACGGTTGTAGGAGTCATCTGCTTATCCTGTGATCTGTGTTTGGGGTTTTTTTTTAGAGACGTCTTTGCATGAAACAGTCTGGCTTTCTGGCTGAATTTGCTAGAGCGGCCAGGTCTGGACAAACCGGCTGCTTTTTGAAATCTATGCCACTTGAAGATGACTTTTCTCACAGGGTAAAGATTTATTTCATATAAGGTGGAGATCTTCTTAAATCCCTCGCCAGACCTTTCCTCTGCAGCCTTTAGGGAGCTCTTTAGATCTTGGCATGATTACATCTCAGATTTCAATAACAAAGAGTAAAGAAGAACTTAGATGTCAGATCAAACACTTTTGGAGGAGGTTCTACTCAATGGCAGCTAATCTGGAATCCCTGATTTTAATCTGATGGATTTAAAGGTGTGATAAATGTAGGTGTGTAGTAACTGTTTCCATGAACGGTTTTGTTATTTTTTTTTTAATTCTGAAAATGACAACAAAATGTCAATTTTATGCGCCATTTGTTTCCAACCTTTATATGTATTCACATTTTAAAAGAAGTTGAAGCAGCAGTTTGTTCAATTATAATGAAAAATTCAACTATTTCCATTGGATGTACTTTGTTTCCACAGTTTTATTGTTAATGTAAAACGACTGATAAGAGTAGCTCAAACAGTTTAATTTGAAGGTCTCCAGTATGTTTCAATATATATATTTTTAGTGTATATGTATTTGTGTGTGTGTGTGAAATGAGGCCACATTATAGATGCACTGCAACCTAGAGCGGCAGCATTTTGTTATCAACAGGGTCAGGGCTATTTTTTTTTTTCATTGCCTTCCGCGTTAATAATAACATGCACAATCACGGGCAAACACAAAAACACACACACACACACACACACACACACACACACATACACAATCACATAGGCCAGTTGGATGCTTGCGGTTACACATGGTGTTTCCATGGCGACAGCAAGCTCCGGCCAGGCCAGCAGCAATGGGCAGGGTGGGGCTGTTGCCGCGGTAACCTACCAATAGCGTTGGGCATCTGGTTCCAGCTGAAGTGGAAATCGGAGGTGTTGGACTGGATCATCGGCGTGGAGCCGTTAAACGGACAAACTTTCTTATAGTAACAAATATCTGAAAAAGACAAAGACGATTTTAATTAAAGCCTTCTTCTTCTTCTTCTTTACTGTTGCTTTCAGATTGAGAGCATCGTTTTATTGTAGCACAGTGACAGCTAATTGTCCTCTTATTCAGACATGAATAAGGTGGACAAAGGCTGAAGTGGATAGCTGCATTTTCAGAATCAATCTGTGACTCTGGAGCAGTCTGTGCTATGATTTTTATTCCAACAGCAGAGAAAAAACAAAAAAAAGCACTGAGGCCCAGCTTTGACAGGAGGGACCTGAATCATATAACATCTGAAATGTTCAGTCAAAGGGAGACTCACAGTTGTAACACAACAGCAGACCTGCCTCGCCGTCTTCATACACATCAATGGCTGCTACGAAATTTACCTGCAGGGAAAGAACAAGTCGGGTTCAGAGAAATCATTTCAACAAGATCCAAAGGTCAGATACGAGAGACTGCTTTAAATAATGTCAGGTCACGTAGCCTGAAGGTAATATAAAAGATGTCTGCTACACATTGTTATTTATTTTGGTTAGTCTTTCAAAGGAGCAGAATAAGACGGTTTATTAGAACAGCTGTTTGTCCTCCTGTCTGCTCATTCATTTCATCCCAGCTGGTGGCTGTGAATGACAATGTGTTGATTCACCCAAGCAGCCTGGTAATCAGCCACTAACTGGGCCAACTGAAGGTTTCAGTCCTGCTCAGCTGCAATGAACATCAGCGCTGGTGTGTATGCGTGCTTTATGCGCACGTGTGCCTCACCCTGTTGGCGTCGACATGATGTAGCCGGTAGGCATCTCCAGTGCTCTCATTGATCAGGTCAAACTGATGTTTGTAGGCCACACAGATCATATTGTCATTCTCCCCCGTCGGTCCGTCCACCAGCGCCATCACCACCGGCGGGTCACACAGACAGATCTCCTGGTGGGTGGATGGTACACGCTGACATTAGTCCTCTTGCTATTAGTGGATAATCATATTCTGGGCCTTGGTACTACAGCTCCCATAATGCTTTGGAGGGTGCTGCTTTGAGAACTACAACTTGATCCCTATTTCCAGCCTCTATCTCCGATTAGTGGTTCACAGTCATATTTTAGAATTTTAAAAAGTGCTTTACTCCCTCATGGAAGTACATTTAAGTCTGATTTATTTACTATGGAAATTAAAGCAATAATATACTTGGGAAGTGTCAGTCCAATAATGTTTCTATCATGTCTCTGTGCTCATATTTGACTGAGTAAGACTTTAGGAAAGTATCAAGGTTTTGACACTTTTTGGAGCAATTAAAGTATTTCAAAACCATCCTAACTGGCTGCATGAGTCTTGAACCCCTGGTGACTTGAGTTAGGATAGAAGTATATATATAGAGAGAAGTTTTGAAGAAATTCTCTCTCTTCTTTGTTTACAGAAACAGGTTGGACTTCTCTGAACCACAAAACCCATGGTGGGTTTCAAAGGATTGTAAACTTTTCATAAAAATCTACAAAATCACACCATTTATCAGAGCCACAAACTATAAAAACACCGGACTGTCAACTTCCCGACAGTCCTTAAAGTACTCATCTGTGACGCGCTGTTTTATTGGAAAAGCTTACAATAGTGATATTTTAAATATTTCATCAAAAGCACTTTGTTCTTCATTTGCCATTTGAATATTTCCAAAAATAAAAGGTTTTCCAATAATTTGATTCTGTAAAAGAAAAAGAAAAAAAAAGAAATAAAATCTGTGGTTTCTGGCATAATCTTGAAGCCATTAGTGACTCAGCTGCAACCAACTGTCGCATGACAAAAATTCAGGGGCTTTGGCTGAACTGGGTTGAACTACAGACTGTGTTTACGCAGAGCGGAGAGGAGACAAGTATGAAAACAAAATAAAAATGTAAGCACATGTAGTAAATATCGATTGTATGGAGAACCACCTCTTTTTCTCTGGGCACTTGGAAAAATGTTGCATATGATTGTCCCAGATTTTTAATAGATTCTTTGATTAATAAATACTATTTTTTATGGCATTGTACCCGTGTCATACTGCACATATCATTAGTTTGTGTGGAGTCTGTTGTACCCGTATGTACTGAAACTCCTCCACCGGTGAGTCAGCTCCTGAGGCGACGGCGCTGAAACCTTCGAAGCGCGGGTGTTTCCTGGTGATGAGGAGGAGTTTGTTCCTGATGGCTGCTACTATCCTCAGCTCTGAGCCGTGGTGGGTGTTGATGGAGTACAAATGACAACCTGGGACAGAGAGGAAGAGTGGGGGAGGAGACAGAGAGATGGAAAATGCATTGGACATGTGCTGTGCTGCAGGTGCTGTTCTCTGGAACAATCCCGCTGATCAATGCGCCCGCTTCAGACGGCCTGACAGGAAACCAACTCTGTGTTTGTGTGCGCTGTAATAATGACATTCATTCAGGTCACTCATTACATGTTTTCTTTTAAACAGTGATAAAAATCATTAACCAGGTTTTGCCTCCTTCATATTCAGCTGATCTTTATGCCAAAACCGACAAGAGACAAATCACAACTGTGGATATTTAAGATAAAACGTGATAGATTTACTTCTTTTTTTTCGTTTAAGGTGCAGACTTATAGACAAAAGATTTAAAACAAGGCCTTCTCGCCCTCTTAAGCTCACTAACAAACACATCAGATCTTAATCCACGCAAAAACCAAAGATTAAAAATATAAACTTCTGTTTTTATCTCGCTTTAGCCTCATATTTACTGAACAGCGCTGAGAGTGAGGATTTAATATTATATTCAACATCATGTTCCTAACCTGTAGTTTACTCTTTCATTAATCTGACATTTAAAGAAAGCAGGACATTTCCGCACACACGACCCCTAAAATGTCAAGGATTACACAATGAAGACCTATTTCCATTGTGGTCTTTGTAAAAGAAAAAGCAGCGATGCAGGAATCAAGGTGACAATCAGGTTCAATCACTAAATGATCAAAAAAATGCATTCAGATTAGAACTAGAGCGGGGAGCTTACTCCTCCAAGTTTCCCATAAACCATGATTTGACTTTTTTTTTTTCCTTAAAGCCCCATATCCCTGCTCATGAAGAGATTCTTTCATCTGAAGTTCATCTGCAGATGATGATTCAGAGATCATATCAAATGAACAGGGTGCCTCGTAAAGTCAGTCTTTTCAGTATAAAATCCGCTCTTTCCTTATCTCTATATGTGGTGTTTCTCCATTTAGCTTCAGCCAAATGATCTCAACAAAAAGGGAAAACCTGTAAGTTAAACACATATCTGTTTGATGTGTTTAAAAATAGAATATTGAACTCTCATATTAGCTTCAATAAAGCTTCATAAAACTTTTCTTACAGGCAAGTGAGCCCACATTTCAGCAGTATTTGCTTCTCTGATTTGGCTCCCAGTTACATTTCAAATTTATTGTTTTGAAGCGTTTAATATCTTTTAACTTTACACACAGTCGCTGTGACCTGCTGACCAGAGGCTCCTGGTTGTCCCGAGGTCAAGATAAAAGCAGATCAGGCTTTTCCAGTAGCCTCCCCTCAACATCAGGACTTCACTAACACGGGACCTGCTTTTATTACTTGCTTTTGAAGCAGACAGAGTTATGATATTTGCTTTTAATGTTGCTCTTTTACTGTGTTATTGTTTTTAACCATTGTTTTGTTTAGTAGTACACCACTTGATTTTAAATAGGTTTGTCGATATACTGACGTGACCTGACTTTTTTGCATTCAGGAAGGTCTCTCTATCAATTTTTAATTGCTGGTATGAACAGAAGGATTGATTACAATAGAGATTAACCAATATCTATTGTTTGACAGATATTATTGGCCAATATTGTCATATAAATTGCCTGATATGTCCCAATATGATGTTTTTTAATGATTATTTTCTCTACAAAACAAGACATTACTTTAGAGTTGGTGTCTTCACAGTTTGTCCAGCAGAGCAGCTCTGGCTCCATTGATTACAACACTCTCAGCTCTGCCTGCAGCACATGTAGCAGAGTAGATAGTGGTACCTTCATGGTAAGTTGCTAACTATTTATAATAAATAATACATTGCTGGGAAGTTAATAAACATGGTCCTCATTATTTTTCCTTTTCAGCATAACTTTAAAATGCCTGATGTATATATAAGTATACTGGATATGTAAAGATATATTATTTCTCTTTTTTTGTACTCAAATAAAAAGAGATATACAACAATAACCACCTAAACAAAAAAAAAATATAAAAACAATAAAAATCTGCATCAGTATCTGCCAGGCTTTAGACTACAAGATGCAAAATCTGTCTCATACAGACAAGCGACTTGTTTTACGACCGATTTGAAACTCCACACTCCAATGTGTAGAGCTTACAGTGTATTCTGCCTGTTTGATGTGGGGATTAGTTTTGCAGCATGTGCAACACTGTGTACATTCTTGCACGCCTTGCGCCGTACCTTTAGTTTTCTCCAGTTTATTCTCGCGGCTGTCACACTTGCTTCTGACGAGCTGCCTCTCCTCCAGGCCTCGTTTCATCGTGCTGAGTCGGAACACATACAGCCGAGCGTCCTTGCCTGGAAACAAAAAAAAAAAAACTAAACAAAAACAAAAGGCGCTTCTGTTTTGCATGAAGGTTACTCCTAATTTGCCATCTTCCTTTTTAGCATCCTCCCACGACCAGACAATGGCGTGGTACCGCGGGAGGATTACCAGAGGGCTTCTTAAGGCTCGTGCTCTCTCAGAAGCTTTATCAAAGCCCACACGCAGTCGTGACAAATGTTTGCGCTGCCATCACACAGTCACCATCAAACCCGAGTCCACCCTGTTTGTCAATATTAGGGCGAGCTAATCATCTGCGGGATAATTAATTACATGCTCTTCTGGTTGAAGCAAACATGAGACAAATCCTGTTGCTGTCTGTTAGAACTCATCGATTTTTTTCATTTATACTATTTGAGTTTTTAAAAATGTTAGCAGGCCTGTATGCTTTATTTTATCTGTCTGCATATCTACCAGTCCTTTACAGCCCACTTCACTCTGGCAGGCAATCTGGTCCTGCAGGATAAACACACACACACTGTCTTGTATACACACACACACACACAACCCCTACAGGGATTGGTTCTCTATAGGTCAGCTTCCTTAGATCACAGTGAGAGATCAATGTGTTCACTCGACCAGTGGAGGTGGAAAGGGTAAGTATGTACTCAACAGCACAGAGAGAGAGATGACAGAGATGAAATGAGAGAGAGGAACAGGAATAATGAGAAAGGCGATGCGCTGTAAATACTGCTCTGAGTCGATGAGAGGATGACAAAGGATGGCACTGGGGGAAGCGGTCTCTAATGTGTAGAGGGTGGTGGGGAGGAAGACGGAGGAGAGCGTTACACAGGATCCTCCGAACCTACCTTTGTCAGCTCGGGTGATGAGCAGGTCCTGAGGCTCAAGAACGTGCATCTGCTTCACCACCATGGTTTTGTCGAACACCTGCACCGGGAGCAGCGTCTGCGTCTCTGAAATACAATATTCAAATCGCATCACCGACACAAAAATCTAAAAACCAACGAGATTTCGGTTTTAAAAAAATTCCTCCTAGGAGAATCGATTAGGTGCCACTCACCGCTGCTTGACAAGGCGGGATCAGGGCCTGAAACGTGGACGACATCATTATTATCATCATGTTAGCTGCTGGCCTTGACATTCTGCTGAGTATTGAATGGATATGGATGGATGGCTTTATTTTAGAGGACACAGGACATATTGATTAGGATGACCTCACCATCTAGCAGCATGACCCCTGCTGTGTCGGTGGCAGCCAGCAGCGACTGACCCCAGGAGTCGGCGCACACGATCTCGTAGGGGAACGTGCTGCAGAACGACTGGGACTCCCATGGCTGCGGCAAACAGACAGTACAGAAACACATTTTACAGTTAATACCCACTTGCTTTGACAGAATATTAAAAAAAAGCTTCTATAACATTCTAAGTAAATTCATATTAAATCCTTGCAACTGGACTTCTTTTCTGGAGGGATGACTCATAAAGGGGGATGTACATGACTGACGGGTGCTATTGTCAACCTCTGTTTAGAGACGGCTGTTCCAGTTTAACATATGTGGCGTCTTTTATTTCTTTCTCAACAATCTGTCCTCTCCATCCAGTATGTGAACACTGCTGTGTCCTTTATGCTTTAGATGTAGGTGGGTTAAAGCAATCTTGAGGTAATTTAGAAACTATCTCTCTTAAATGGTTTGTACATCAAGTATTGAAAAATCATTTCAGTTCCAATTCTGGGCAGAATTTCTTATCAAGAGTATTTAAATTCACATATACTGGCCACTAGTTGGGTTCTGCTCTTCTTCTGTGAACTGCTTTGTAAAGATTTGAAATAGGGGATCTTTTTTCACTTGTTTAAAGAACATTTTTTGATTCTGAAACAGCAATTTGATGAGATATTAACCTCTTAAGAGCAAAGAGAAGAAAAAATAAAATAACAAAATATATAATAAATAAACATAAAATAATAAAAACTTAAAAAAAAATAAAAGAACGACGGTGGTAATATAACCCAAAATGTGATGCTGCCCACACATGTGGACGCCGAGTCTTAAGAGGTTAATAGAGTTTAAAATTACGACTAAAACCAGTGAAAAGATCAAACAATAAGGCAAAAAGAAGCTGCTTTAGTTTGCAGGTGCTTGTAAAACATCCACTGTGTCCATGTTGCACTGACTTCAATAATAAACCCTCTTTTCTGTTTATCTTTATCATGTTTCTAGTTCAACCCAACAATTTTGCACTTTAATATGTAAACATTTATTTACGTTTTGTACTGTGCGGCATCATACAATGAAATATTTCTGCACAATAAAATGAATCTTAATGTAGTTGCTACTTTGCTTTTTTTTTGGAGCAAATTAGTTGTTTAGATCATTAACTAATTAGTTAAAACTAGCAAAATAGCCTCTCACCTCTTTTCTGCACAGGCCTGTGGTAACAAGGCTGGTCGGGGCGTCTCCCCTCACGATGGTCTTTAGCTTCAGGGCCTGGAGAAGAAATAATATCAGCTGTGACACACAACAAAGACAACTGGGAATCTGGTCCGCTTCCGCTGGCAGCAGTGGAGGAGGTATTCAAAAGCATGAATTCTGCACAAAAATTGTCCCCATGTGACTAATGGTATGTAATATCATTAGATTGCTTACACTGATGCAATAAAGTGCAACCAGCTTTTATACTGCTTCTGCTGGCTGAGGTAAAGCTACTGTACTCTGTGTGTGTGTGTAATGAGCAGTGGACTCCTATAATGTTGCTGTCATGTGCAAACTGGATTTTTTTTTCTCATTACCTTTATTTTAACAGTAAATGTTTAATAGTTTAAATAGTTTGATATCTCAGCATCACCCAGGGGGCACCAAAGCCCACTTTGCTAAAACACTGAGGAAAAACAGTATCATTTATTTATTTATTTTTTACTGGAGACTTTAAATGCTCTCTGATTGCAAAGTTCAGAGAGAAAATCACTCTTTAGTGGAGGTTTTTCCTCACATTTAAACCTCTAAACCCCCAAAACCTGCCAGCAGGTTTAAAAAGGCACGTTGTTTTAGAAATCGCTCAAATGAATCCATATATCAGAGCAAGAAACGATGAAAACAGACAGAATTCTCAATTTGTTTTTTAAACTTTCTAGCAATGACTGAACTTTTAATGTAAGATGTGCCGTTCCATCGGGACAAACAACCAAATGTAAGCTTGTGATATTTGTTTTAAACCACTTTATTTTACCTCTCATTTAAAAATAAATCCTAAAAAGTGACAACTTCGCATTAACCCATCCATCCATCCATTATCTAAACAACGTTAAATCCTCACTAGGCTAGGGTCACGGGGGGCTGGAGTCTATCCCAGCTGCCTTAGGGTGAAGGCAGGGGACACCCTGGACAGGTCACCAGTCTATCACAGGGCTACACTTAGAGACAGACAACCAAGCACACTCACATTGACACCTACAGACAATTTAGAATCACCAATTAACCTCAACATGTTTTTGGACTGTGGGAGGAAACCAGAGAACCCGGAGAGAACCCACACTGCAGGAGGACAACATGCAAACTCCACGCAGAAAGATCCCGGGTGCCCCCACCGGGACGTGAACCGGTGACCTTCTTGCTGCGAGGCAACAGTGCTAACCAACTGCTCCACCATCAGCAACCAAGCCATTAGTGATTAAGCTTTGACCAACAGTCATGTGAGAAAAATTCAGAGGCTTAAGGGATGAACTGCAGGCAGTGTTTAAACAAAGTGATAAGTGACAAGAGCAAAAAACACCCAGAAACTGCTGTGTGTTCAGAGGCTTAAACAACTACTGGACTTTTAAAATCATAGACTCTACATTGGAACGAGGCACCTTGTCTGAGACAGACAGCTCATCAAGGACTGGCAAAAGTAAATACCAAAAAAAAAAAAAGGCGAAAAGTAAAAGGTAATAGAACACAGTTAGTACAAAATGTTCAGCAGCAACCATCTGACTAGATTATAAATTGCCAATCCGGCTGCACACTCAGCCATTTACATATCTGCATAAGCAGGCAATCTGGAGATAATGAAATCAATACCAACCAATGGTACAACGGTGAAGCGGTACAACGAGCACCGCCGTTACAAAAACAAACATAAAAAAAACGTATTCTGACCTATCAGACATGCAGGAGAACATGAAACCATTGTGTGCTCTGTGCATCACACAGCGAGTGAACATCCAGACAGTCGGTTTAGTTGAGGACAAACAGCTTGTCTCTACAAAACTGGATAATCAATGAGTCGACACGTCTGCCTTCCGTTGTTTTCATGCTTTACAGCACAACGTGTCGATGCCTCGGCTTTGTGTTTATGAGCAGAGAGCGACAGAAACAAGGTAGAAAACACAAACGGCAACACAAAGAGAGATGGTTAGCAAATGAAGATAACAAACAGCGGAAACAAGAGACACAGAATTACCTAAAGGCATAATCTGTTTGTTTTTCTTTTTTTAAAGTTGATTTAAAAAAAAAGAAGTACTGACTTTGACAACCTAATTTCCTCAGTCGGTTTCACAGTTTGTGTTGGACAGTACCTGCTGATAGTTTATTATAATCTAGATGGAAAAATGAAAACAGCAGCTTAGCTCACACGCTGCATTCTGGTCTGTATGATGTAAAAAAAACAGGCCATGTTTGGGATTCACTTTCCTGTTAGAACATAAAAGACATAAACTTTCTTTCCCGATATTCAAAGCTTCACATGCACAGATTCTGATTCTTGTCCTGTCACTTATAAGACAGTATTCCCAGACACATTAGGTAATGGCGCTCGGAAACATCATCAGCTATCACAACAGGTCACAAATCTGTTGAAAAATATCCATTATCTCACAGCCATCCCGCAACAAATTATTTCCGAAATGCCAGAGGTCTCCTAAGCTCAACGCCGAGGACGGTGCTTCGTGAGCCTTTGTTTTGGTCTTTGTGTTGTCAGACTTTGGCGCTGTATAATTATGATTACATCAGGTGTAATGACGATTACATCAGCCTGATAATGACTACTGGACTGCGGCTCAGAGACCTCTTGTTACATTATTATTCCCTCCTCATTCTGCTGCAAACAGGTGTTCAATTAACTCAGCTGTCTGTCAAGAATTACAGCCTTTAAAGGACTTCATCAGTACAAAGAGTAACAGATCCTCCTCGTATATGAAAGAGGTCGGTCCATCTGTAGCTTCTGCTACAAGCGCAGTCGTCTAATACCATCGAATTTCCTCAAAACTACCTAGAAACGACAAAGATGTTGCAAAAAACAGCAACACTTTATAATAACTCTCCGTTATAACTAGTTAATAGATAATTTGTAAACTGTTAATTAGTGAGTTATTAACCACTTGTTAAGTGTTTGTTAATAGTTTCTTGATGATTTGTAACGATGCCTTATAGATAGTTAATAAACCATTTACAAACTGTTAGTTAATGAGTTATAAATGACTTGTTAACTGTATATTAATGATTTACAGCCATACCTTATTAACCAGTCATAGATCATGAACAAGCCATTAGTGAATTACTTACTAATGACTTGTTAAGTATCAGTTAATAGTTTATATATGTTATTGGGACGTTATTCTAAAGTTGCAACAAAAAACTACTTTGCAATTTGGCATTATTAGAAGGAAAGTGATAAAATAACAGTTGGTGATGATATAATACCCACTCACATGTTTTAAGGAAAGAAAGAGAAACTGTTCATTCATTGAGATTTTTCATGACTTTAGACATAACTGATCTGCAACCAATCAGCTGATCAACACATGAAACACACTATTCCTGCTATAAACCTTCACCCGCACATATTTCTCCCTAATGTCCGCAGACCAGAGCTGTGAAATGAATTTACTCAGTGTGGCATATTTTCTATTCAATCATGAATTAAAAATGATTCTTAGTTTCTCGAGGAAACACTAATGTGCATTTACTTTCACTTACTTCATAAATTATTTAACATTTTTCTTAAAAGCCCGAGAAGAAGAAGAAGAAGCAGGTACTTAATAGCCGTAAAAGCTAACAATTTATCTATTTCCTTTATATTTAGTACCAAATTTTGCAAGCCTCTCTTTGAAATATCCTGACATATTTTCGGGAAGTTATGAGAAAAGTTTCCAGTAAATTAGCATGAAAATAGAGGACCTGTAAAGTGAAGTGTTACACCAAATTGCACTGCAGCTGAGAAATGCAGCAGCGCCTGAAGATAAGTGTATGAAGCTCTCAAAAAATGCAATTTTTCAGAATGGAAAGAAAATCTATGTAATGCGTCTCGCTGTGAATTATGCCCCTGATTACAGCTCCAACCTGAAGTGTTCTCTACAATGGAGGCTGATCCCAACAGTTTCCATCCAGAATAATCATCTGTAAAATATATTCCCTGTATTTTTGTGCAGGAATTACATAACGCCTTCGACTGTAAGGTAATTGATACATTTAACAGCAAACCCAGACGCTTTTCTCTGGATATTATATTCTAGAGATTCAAATCTACATTTCTCTCTATTTCATTCTTGACACATTTTGTCCTACCATTGCTGTGCAGGTACAGAAAGTGACTTTATGTCGCGCTATTCATGAATTTTACATTTTTTTATTTTAAAAACAAAAGGAAATAAAATAGTTTGAAGTTAGAGATGTCGCAATCGAGTTTTATCACCTCTGATCTGATCCGAGTCATTTAATATTTAGTATCTGCCAATATCAAGTCACAATCTGATACCATTTTCCTACATAACAAACACTTCAAGTACATTAAAGATATAAAAATCAATCCAATAGATCTGCAATGCATTAAGAAACCAAGTATTTCTGCATCCAAGCTGTTCCTTAATGCTATGCAGGTGGTCAAAAAGCTTGTGGAGAGGATTCAGTCACTCAGACTACGGGTAGTTGTAGGGGTTCAGCTAACAACTGGCACCATGACAGAGACTTCTGTGACCTCCAGCCATCAAAGAACCCGTTTATTGGTTGTAACGCTGCTGGTTGTCATCGCTAATGTCCAGCTACAAACCGTGCTCTGCCTTTTTGACAACTGTGTGACAGCAGATGTACATAAATCATTGGCTTACGTTCTTGCTGATATTAGCCAGTTAAAAAAATGCCTCGATAGGCTGAAATCCTGATCTTGGAGACATTTTAAATTATACCTTGGATTAGGAAAGGTTTACACAAACAAACAAGAACTTGTGTTTAATAAAGGTACTCTTCTACAACCCTCTGAATCCCACAACCCACAAGTGTTTTGTTTTTTTTTTATTTTTTGATGCACATTCTGATTCAAGGTTTTGTCGATTTTTACATGATAAATAATCACAAAAATTCACCTTCTGTATTTTTGAGTTCTCTCCACTACTGGCCATGGTTGTGCTGTTTTCATAGAGCTGGAGCATTTTTTGCAGCGAAAAAAGGGGCGGACAGTGAGCCAAAAATGCCCAAAAAGTAAAGCATGTCTCCTTTCCCTTTCATTTTTTTATATTTACAAATCAAACTCTGCCAGTCTACAATTAGCCACCAGTTTAACAGTGATATACCACTGCAGTATAATACATAATACTCCAGAGAAACAAAAGATTTAAAAATTCTGTCAACGATTCAAACTATTTAGGTGATTAGGTGTGTTGTGTTGACGCCTTTGTCACTGTGTCTCTCCTGGTTTCCATGTGTTTAACGTCTGAGTGTGTTTCTAACCTCTTGTGGTTGGTGTGGATGTTTTTGTGTGTATGTGCATGTTTGTGACTTCATTACCTGCCCTATTCTGACAAATTCAGCCTGCCGTGCCTCCTCCTTCTTGCGTGCCGACTTTGGAGACTCGGGCAGCACGTCGCTGAAGGACCGTCGGTTTAACATGTTCTGGGGAGAAAAAGGAACCTAAACGTGGAACACACAAAATGTGGCACACACACACACACACACACCCACACACACATGCACACAGAGAAAAAGAAAGCAAAAAGGGGGGTCTTAGAGACTGACCCTGGCAGGGGGTGAGAACAGCAGCAGTGAAACACAGCTAGAACCGAGTCGTGTTAGGAGCAACAGAGAAAGGAGAGGACGAAAAAAAAAAAAACAAGAGAAAAAGGAACAAAAGTGATGTGAGGAGAGAGAGCCCTGCTGAGAAAGTCAGCATTGCAGTAGTATCCAGTCGGTGTGGTGCAGTATGCAGAGAGACACCGAGGGCTGCAGTGGAATACAGCAGAACACAACCCAGCAGAGCTACAGTGGCTGCCAGTGACAGGAGGAGGAGGAGACGACGTGGACGACCAAAAAAGTACGTCCATTCATTAGTGGACGAGCAGAGCGGTTGTTAGAAAGCCAGAAAAGCTGCGGTACCTTGTGCAGGTCAGGCATGAGGTCTTGGTAAAGCGAGCGGATCAACATGTCAAGGGTCCGCTGGCGCTTCTGGGCAAACGTTGGTGTCTCCAGTGTGGCTTTCTCTCCATTGATTACTGCAGGAGATAGAAAAAAAATAAACATCAGAGTAGAAAAAAAAAACACACGATGCAAACTTACTGACACATCTGATGCACTTTTTCTTACATTTGACTAATAAAAAGTCCCTGAATTCTTGGTGATCAGTAAATACAGGCGGAGATGGGAGAGGAGGTCCAAACAGCGGGACACTCTCCTCTGAGAAAATCTTCAACCTGTGGCACAGAGCACATGTATTACACTTTTATTACACTCGTAGTTATTTAGAGACAAATCAAGTAAATTCAACTACATTTAAAAAAAAAATCAAGCACAACCCTCTGAACCCCAAGCAGTTTTTAGTTTTTTTTAATGCTCCTGTCACATTTTTACTAATTTTTAAAGTTCTGTACTTCTATGGAAACACAACCAAGGCTAGAAGTAGACACGGCATTATAACGAACTTGTAACGTCATAAATCATGAAAAAGGAAATAAATAAAGTCGAATTTTGTTGATTTTTTTATATTAAAAAAAGCTAAAAACTTAAACTTGATTCAACATATGCAACACTTTCCCAGGTGCCGACAGGTGTTATCAAAACTAGAAAAAGTTAGCTATGCACACTATAGATATTTCATTATTTGCATTTTACATTTGTTTCAATACTTGTCTCCTCTCTGCTCTGTCTAAACACAGCCTGCTGATCAGCCGAAAGGTCCCTGAAATTTTATCATGTGACTTTTGATTGCAGCACTTTATCTTGTTTTTCTTTTTACAGAATCTGAAGAAAGCAGTTTGTTTTGTACATTTTTTAAATGAGACATGTAGAAAAACTTTAGCTTGTATTTGTTATGTTTTCTTACGAAACAGCATGCCTCAGTTGATTACTTCAAGAACTCATGAAAAGTTGAAAATTCTTTATGTTTTTACCCCTGATCAGTGGCGTACTTTTTTGAAAGATGACATGCCTTTTAAATCTGCCAGCAGGTTTCAGAGGGTTAGGTGTGTTTGATGTGTAAGTCATCAGCAGTTATGTAACCATAAACAGCACAGCGTTAACCAAAGCCACTCACCTGTAACTGTCATTCTGGCTATTATACCTAACTAATGCAAAAATATCTGCAAGTCAAAGTATAGGAAACATCACTTATACAGGAGACACAGTAATCCATGCAGCATATTTTATCGCATACATCTTCAGTGGCGTGATGTGATATGTGGTCATTAGCAGAACTTCCTGTGAACGCGGCTCGTGTCGCTGAATAACCGCTTAATTACTCTGACAGTCATTGTCCAAGTGAAGGATACGGGTGAAGTGCGATCGGATCATAGACGGTTTGAAGGACGACGATGCATCATCCCCTTCTTGGAACACTATGGTAACAATGTCATTTCCAATATGCCTCTTTCTCTCCACCTGCCAGAGAACAAAGCACAGAGACACAAAGATGAGGACAGAAAAACAGCAACTTAACCTCGCTATGAAAACGTTCATGCGTGACAGGAATGGTCTTTTATGTTGCATTAACTGATTTTTTTTGAAGCCACGTAAGGTGAAGAGGAACAACAAGTAGATAAATTGGCTCCATGCAGAAACAGTTTCTAGCTGATGTACAGCAGAATGTCACTGGAGGTGGGGAAACTTAGAGGAGCGTTTTCTCTTTTTAACCTGTTTTGCGGATGTTTGCTTGCAAGAACGGTGGAGATAATGAATCACAAAGAGCAGCTCACTCTAAAAATATCTAAATATATTTGTAAAATAGTCACTCCAACTAACTTCCTGTTGTTGTTTTTAGCACATCTGCATGCATCTATTCCATTCAGATGGCACAGTATCTTTGGTCCACACTAACTATTCTGGTAGATTAATCGTAGCAACTGGACTTGCTTGAGTTCCCTGAAGACGTTTCACCTCTCATCCAAGAGGCTTCATCAGTTCTGACTGACTAGTTGGGAGTTCCAGATACTCAAATCCTAAAGGAGCCGTTAACACCTGAGTTTGAGTTTGAACTGGGGGGTTGTTCCTCCTCCCCCTCGTTATGTGAGTCGTTAGTGCTCCCCCTGACACAATGGGGTTCATTAGGGTCTTTTGTGGCGAGGTGTGGATGTGGTTTCATCTTCCTGGGGAGAGACCTTAGGACTGAGCTGTAAACAGGTGAGAGGTGATGCCTCAGACCTCCACCTCTGTTGAGAGATGGTCTTTCCAGTTTGACGTAGGTGGCTTCTTTAACTTCAGTGGAGAAGCGTTCTGGGGGAAATATTTTTTATATTCGGCTGCAAAATGCTCTAGTTAGTTGCAAGGCTTTACTGGGTTTGCTTAAGCTTCTTTCACTAAAATGCAGCTGACAATTAAAACAGTAAAGCTTTGTGCCGTAAAACAACCACTTTCACCATAAAAAATATGAATTACAGCAGCTTTAAAGTTGTCTGCATCACCCTGATGAAACGAAGAGGGTGTCATTCTAACATTTTTCAAGGTCTAAATAACTTAAACACTTTAAGAAGCAGTGATAATTTCAACTCTTTGATCTCCAAACTTCAGAGGCAGCAACACTGACCGCATTTTCTGCACTAACTCTTCACCTGCTTGTTTTGCCATCTCGATTTTGCTTATATATTATAATCTCACAGACACATCCTCTCCCTAGAAATGGCAATATTTATAATTTTTGAAATAATTAAAAAGTTATATGTACATTTTTTAACCTGTGATGGCAATGTGGCATGGAGGATCTCCAACAATTTAATTTAAACACATTAATGATGCTTTTACAAGAGCTGAATATCAATAATCAGCAAAAAAATAATGATATAATGAAAAAAATAAATAAAAATTGCCATTTCCAAAGCATTTTTGAACCTTCTACATCTCTCCTGGTGCCATCATTCAGTCCTAACTTCCACTCATGTATAAGAAACTAAAAGACAGATTGCCATAAAATTCAGTGTAATGCTGCAACTAACAAACATTGCCATTACTGATTTATTTGCTTCATCATTTACAGATTAATCTTTTGGTTTATAGCACATCAGAAAACAGCAAAAAAAATAAAAAAAACGGCATTACTGGAGGCCACACATACATGTCATCTGGTTTCCTGTTTTGTTCAATGAACAGTTCAAATATCTTGATTTCACTATAGCGCAGGACCAACTAAAGTATTGAATTCACACATTTAAAAACCCCAAAACTATCAAATGTTTGCAGGTAAGTTGGTGCCAACTGATCATCAGAACAGTTGCCAATTACTCTTCTTTTCATGGACTGACTGACTGACTGACAGCTCTAATTTAATGAGAACATTCACGCCTGAGAGGCTGAAGATTAACCTTTTCTATTTTGGACACTGAGCTATTTTCTAGGGCTTCAACCCATCCAAAATGTCAGGGATACACACAGGATGTTTCATTATCTAAGAGACAAACAACACAATCATAGCCAAGAGAGGGTAATTTATTAATGTTAGCCCTTCGTTTAGCGTGACACTTCTTTGGCACCACTACTAGCGAGTATAAAAATAGCTGCTTTCTTTTTCTTTTTCCTCTAACATCTCTGTATGGGGGAGTGAAATTTAACCCTACATCTTCGACAATTAAAATAAAAGGATTATGTTGCGACACAGCACAGTGCATGACTGCAGCTCTTGTTACTCAGATGGGAGTCATGCAACAACACCGGCAGCCACATGCAGTATGAGCACACACTGTTCCTTATTAGTGACCACCGGAATGTCTTTTTTTATCCTAAGAAATCAAATTATGTGTCATATCTAAGGACTAGTCCTTTTCAATCATACATGACTGAATGAAGCAATAATATCCTTTTTTTTTGCCTCTTGCTTTCCTAAGGTCACTGCATTTGCTACGTTGGCTGCCATTGAACTGGCTTCCTGTCAATGCACAGTTAAAGTGGGATCTTTTCTAAGCTAAATGACACAAGTTTTACACTTTAACCTGCAGAGGATATGAATTTCTAGACTAAATTTAAGGAAAATTTGATTTCACAGTAAAGCCCGAATGTTAACCTTATGGTGGCTCTAGAGAAAAGATCAGGGGATTATCAAAGTCATGAGGTTTCATCCTCTGGACACCATGAACGCACAAAATGCTGCACCTTCACAGTATTCAGTTGGGAATGGTTCAAAATGGTGGAAGATCTCACTGATTGAACGCGAGAGCAGACTGAAGCAAAAGAAAATAAATACATAACACATTACGGACCACAACCAACCACACACACCTGCTGTTTGTTCTCTTTAGAGTACGGTAACATGGTGGACACGTGGAACATGAGCTCATGGCCTTGATACACCGTGTAGATGGACTTAATTCCTGTAGTGTCATCTGCAGACAAAAAACCAGCAACAAAGAAGAAAGAATTAGCATCGGGAACAGCCTTTACTTTAAAGTGACGGTAATAAAATGTGAGTGAGCAGATGCGAGTGTTCTTACTCTTGGTGTCTAGCCCTCCGCGGTAACCTGCCCATCCCTGCAGTGTAATGGAATCACCCAGCAGATTGAGAAACTTATCAAAGCTCTCGCTGCCCATCTCTACAACAAACACAGAGCTTTCACTCAGCGGGCATCTTCTATTGTAGCTCGCAGTGCTTTGTTAAAGGAAATTTTGACATTTTGGGAATTGCGCTTATTCTCTTTCTTGCTGAGAGTTAGATGAGGAGATCGATACCACTCTCATTGCTTGTGTTCGAAACATGAGTGCAGGTGATTAGCGTCGAACAACAGACAGCAAACAGGGGAAGTCTGGCTAGCCTGGAAGCTCACCAACTAACATTAGTGAGTTTATAAGCTGGATTGCTTCGCTGGATGCAATAAACAAAGTGAGACATATGGTGTTTGCGCTCGGCAAGGATGCAAATAAGCGTATTTCTCGAAATGTCAAAGGCTCAGTTTCTCAGACGTGGATTAAACATAGTCCAAAACTTCTTTCAATAAAGCTCTTCATTGTACTTTTCATTTTGTCTACGACTAGACTTAATCCATGTCTGGGAAAGTGGCTGAAGTGTCTTCAATGGCTTTGAGTAAACACTGAAAAAAAAAAAAAGTAAACATCGAGGGATTTACCGTTGCTAAACATCTCGTCGTCTGTGAGCTGTCCATCTTTGGCATATAGTACACCAAATTTAAAGTTGACAGAACCCTACAAAATCACACATGGGTCAGAATAGTTCAATTATTAACAGCACATGCCTTTCTTTTAATAGAATTTATACATTTCATATTCAAAATCTGACATAAAAGACACTGAAAAGGTTCCAGGATTCAACATCATTTACTTTCATCCTATGGTTCAGATTCCTCCCTTAATTTTTCATCTTTGAAGCTCATTAGTGAAGTAAATGAGAAAGAACAGGTAAAGGTTGTGACACACATTTTTGAAGGTCAATTCATGCTTTGCACGTCTGCGAGGGTACACGTGATGTAAATTTTATCATCCACTCAAATTGTGACTGTCCGCAAAGTGTGCTGAATACACATCAGCCAGAAAACATGTGGTGCTTAAAACAAATGTCTGGTATGAGGAGAGGATGCACAAGGAGAGTCTTGGCCATTAAGATCTCTAGAATTCATCATTAAGCTGGAGTTGAAATTAAAGTGTTCTCTGCCAGACTTGGGAGGTGCTTTGATTTGTTCAACTGATGGAATATCAGTCTGTGCAAATGGATGTGGAAAGCATGAATTGGCCCATAGAGCTATCACATCTCTGGTGATTGTAAAGAAAACTTGTAGATTATGATGATATTCAGGAAACTACTTGACTCTCTCCTGACGGATCAGTTTCACCGATCAGCCACATTATTAAAAACTATTGTGAGGTGAATGTTTAACATGAATCATTTCATAACAGTGCAGCTGCTGGGAATCCTTAGGTCTTGGCATTCATTTAGATATTACTTTGACACATGGCACTGATCTCACATTTGTTCTAGACCAAGCCCAATTATGGCAACAGCACTCCTCCTCAACATCAATGGCTTCCCCAAGTTGTAACCATCCATCCATTATCTATACACCGCCTAATCCTCACTAGGGTCGTGAGGGTCTGGAGTCTATCTCAGCTGACTCAGGGTGAAGGCAGGGGACACCCTGGACAGGTCCCCAGTCTATCACAGGGCTACACTTAGAGACAGACAACCAAGCACACTCACATTCACACCTAAAGACAATTTAGAATCACCAATTAACCTCAACATGTTTTTGGACTGTGTGGGAGGAAGCCGGAGAACCCAGAGAGAACCCACGCTGCACGGGGAGAACATGCAAACTCCACACAGAAAGATCCCGGGCGTCCTCACCGGGACACGAATCTTCTTGCTGTGAAGCAACAGTGCTAACCACCGAGCCACCTTGGATTAAGTGGTGTATAGATAATGGATGGATGGATAAAAATAAATGCAGGATCACCAAAACAAGAAACCAAACGGCAGCAGTGTGCTGTAAACACAGTGTGGTTTCATACCTCCTGTTCCTCCAGCACCAGCAGATCCTGGGGAAAGAGGACATAACTATCATTCACACTGACCAGCTAGAGATGACACAGCCCGAGGATATTATAAAGTTTAGGTGTTGCTGATCAGGCTTGGCATGAAATGGACCGGTGCTATATTTCATTAAAAGCGGGCCAATGCTCTGGTGTCACTCTCACCTTCTGAATCTCCGGGTTGAGGATCTCCCTGGGGCCTTTCTCAAACCTGTCCATGTTCATTGCACTGTAAGAGGAGCGGGAGGAGCGGGAAAGGGAAGGGTGGAAGAAGAGAGAAAGGGATGTTTAAGGCTGATGGAAGACAAATAGCCCGAAGGCTAACACAGAAAAATGATAGCTGATACAGGGGATTTCTCATCCAGCTTGTACCATTTGTATTCATTCAGAGTTTGAGTAGTGACACCACTCAGCCCGAGGAATTTATAATCTCCAATCTCCTGTTTCATGCATCTTTTTATATCCTGTTACTAGTCGCTCAGGACATCTGCTGCTGGAAACATCTTTTTGAAGGTATAAATAACCAGAAAATACATGTGAGGTTCTTGTGTAAAATATAGTGTGAAAATATAATAAGTGTTGCCAGAGTGGGATGTTTTTCAGTCAGTTGGGTGATTTTCTTTACAAGGCTAGAAGATGTTCTAATGCATCTGGCACTCTACTTCCAATTAGAATGATTACTAAAACAAATAGTCAATGAATTTATGCATTTTTTTTCAACAAAAACAAAGACCAGTGTCTAGCTTAAGGCTGTCCAATTTGAGGATTTGTTGCTTGTTAGTCAGTTCGCGCTAACTATCATGATCCTGGAAACCATGTGATCCTGTATTATCGGCAGCACGACCTGAGTTAAACACGATGGGACCATTGGTAGGAAGCATTTGTGATTTCTCCATAAGCTGCAAAGTGAGGCAGAGAATAAAACATCAGATTCTGTGTCGATCAGCGGCTGAGGATCATCACTGGGGATGAATGGTGGGTCAGTGGTTACCATCAACAGAAGTCACAGCAATTGCTACAGTGGAAGATCCCACGGTTTCTAAGACCTTACAAGGCGCTTTAGGTTAGGAGAGCACCTTGACATTCATGTGGTTGTGCACCAGGAATTAGTCCCCCAACACTGGAGCGTCAAGGCACAGCTCTACTCTAAAGACCTGGGGAATCTGAGGGTGAACAATCGGAGTTAACAGCCTGAACCATGACATGATGTACTGTGCGTCCAGTCAGCATGGTGATTGCCATAGATTTCTTAGCCACAACAATATAACCGTCACTCCCCACCTGCCCGACTCACTAGATGTGGGTTCTTCTTCATCTTTCTCAACATAAAATTCAAGCTTTGGAATTACTGTTTTGTAAGATTTTAGGAGATTCAGAGCCCCAATGCAAACTGTGCATGACACATTAGGGGCACATTTATTTTATTTTTTTATAAACACAGTCTTGGAACTTTATGATTGCCCCTTATAATATAGTAGTAATATAGTAATAAACTTTTTCTTACTGGCAAAGCTTAGCTCTCAGCAATTCTAACAGGCATTTTATAGACTAGGGCTTTCCTTGAATTAAAATTTTGCTGGGCAGATCAGGTTCAGCTGCTCACTATCATGATTCAAAGATTTGTTCCCTTTTTTATTACGGAGAATTCTAGTTTTACACATACTGACTTTATCGTAGTCTGGCCTGTTGGGTGGTAACCTCTACTATCTGAGTAGTAGTTTTGCAACATTTCATCAACTACGCCTATATCTGCTTTTTCTTTTTCAAGCAGGAAACACGGTACAAAACTTTCAAACTTAGGCATATGTGCACATTTTGTGGCTGACTTTTGCAACTTAATCACCCTGTTGGTATAAACTTCACAGTGGCTGCAGCTACTTGCTGGTAAGATGACTTATTTTACACACTAGAGTCACTCACTTTCCACAACACTGCACCTACTTCCCATACAGGTTGCCCACAGCTCATGCTAATGGTCCCATGCAAAATGTTGTGTCTCCGAAGCTCTACCACGAAAGTGTGCAGTGCAAAGTTAGCACGACACTTGGAGCCACCATAGTCATATTAATGGGATATACAGCAGGTTAACATAAACAAGAACTCTTCTATAAAAGGTAAACACTCTATAAATAATGTATCGCTCTACTTTAGCTTCTCTCATCAGTTAACCACAAGTTGCAACGTGGATAAGCGAGGGCTCAACTCAAAGAAACTGTCTTGAATTAGGGGTCCTCAAAAGATGCTTTGAAGCCTTACGATAGACACATTATGAATCCATCAATCAAGAGAATAATCTGCAGGTGAATCAAAGCTATGAAATAAAGGCCTTGTAAAAGCTTAAATCTGTTCATAAGAGATGTTCAATTATCCAAAAGTCACAGTGGAGATCATGTTACATTATTTTAACCACAAACACACTTGGACTGAAAGCTAATTTTCTTCTTGCACTTGAAAGCTACAGAGAGCAAAACACTGGTGAGTATTTCCTCTGACTGTGACTGAAGTTAAGTGTTCACAGTTTTGTGGATGCAATCATATTTTGCAACCAAGCTCTGTGTGTGTGTGTGTGTGTGCAGCTCACCCTGAAACAAAAACACATCATACCCTACTTTATTAAAATAACACACACACAAGCAGCTTGGTCCCAAACACGGTACATGGCATTAATAACAGTGTATAACACGGTGGACAGAAAAACACTGGGCCGCTTTTATATAGACCGGTTGGGTTTGAGACGCTGATTTCAGTCATGTTCGGCAACACTTTATGCAAATAATCATGACCCAGCAGCAGCGTGAGATAACAACAGTATTAATTCACATTCATGTATTGTAAAGAGAACTGTGTCGGGCTGCAACTCTCACCTTAGGATAGACTTGACTGATAGTGTTTTGGTCGGGCTGTAGGGGAGGCTGATCTTCAGAGTGCCCTGAGCAAACAAGAATGACACAGATCAGGGATTACAAACTCTTAGCACAGCGGGTTTCATTCACCTTTCACTCTTTGAAAACATGCCTTTATGTAGCTCGCAAATTGATTTTCCAGGCTAAACGAGAAACTGCTACCCTACTGTTGCAGCACTACTCACAAGAAATTCAGACCACACAACATTTTCTTCAATTAGTCAAAGAATAATTGCAAATTAAACCAAAGTAATAAAAGCCAACACAAAGTTGTTCTATTCTACAACAACAACAACATCCTGTACCGGTCAGAGTCTTACAGAAACAAGACAAATCAATGTGATCAGGCAGCGGAGGTGCACCGCCCTAATCAGGTTCCAGACGAGGCTGGAGGCTAAAATTAGATCCAAGCTATCTTGGTCATGAAACTGAATCACTAAACTACAAACACACAATGATGAACGTGCATTTCACACACACGTACACACACACCTACATGCACGGTGACTCAAACGTGGAGTAGCATCTCTCTAGACACCACTTTGTGGTTTCTCACATTCAGATCGCTGAAAAAAAACACCACCTACAACTGTGCGTTTAAGTAGAAAATGTTCTCATGTGCAGCGTACTAAAAGTTTCAGTTCCCTTCTTTCTGAGTGGAGGAAAATCCTGTGAGCTAACGCTGGAGAGTCACTGAGGACATCAAGCACAGTTATGAGGTGCTCGTACTTTGCTTGGCTACACACGGTTTATTCTACTTTAGAATTTAGAGGAGTTACTTTTCAGATTCAGTTGTAGCATAAATAAAGCAAAAGTAATATAATACATTTTGTAACAATAAACTTGTGGTTCTCAACATTTTGGACTTTCTGTCCTCTATATAAAAGCAGTTCCCAGTTAGAACCAGATATCTATTAGTGTTCCACCAGAGAGATTTTTTTTTTTTTTTTGCAAATGAAATCGGTAAAACTATTAACTATTTCTCTGCAGAATTTTTTTTTTTGTTGAATTACTTTGACCATTCATATTACAAAAAGTGAAAAAACCTGGAATCAACATGTGCAAAATTTTTGCCAGGTTCTCCAGCGTTATCAATACTGAAACAAAAAACAGTGACTCTATATACTACAGATATTTTACTACTGACCTTTGACTTTTCTTTCTGTTCTTACAGTTTCTCTTTTAGTAAATGTACGCCTGTAGATTTATTTATTTTTTTAAGACAAGATGCCATTTAGGCCTGCTGGCTGGTTTGGGGGTTTACAGGGTTAGTCACTATTTGCTGAAAATACCTTTAAAAAAAAAAAAAAAAAAGGTGGATTATGGAGTTTCCTTGGTTTGTCAAAAGGCTGATCAGAACTGAAGGTACATCTTTGATGTGTAACATATGCAAAGCATTGTAAATCCTGCATCATTTACATCCAGGTTTACTCGCTAGTGCAGAACAAACACAACAGAGGATCCTTTCAACTCCTCCACAGGACAACCACAGGTCAGTTAGAAGTTTGAAATGCAGGCCTTTAATGAGTATTGGAGTTGTTTTACATTATTTTCTTACTACTTTTTTTTTTACTTCTGAGTCTTCCACCTCTGCGGCAAGGTGAGTGGGAGGCAGTGATGGTGGACTCACCGTCTTCCTCCAGAGGATGGCTCTGTACTGAGGAACCCGCTGGTTGTTCTGGTCTGAGAGGACGACTGACAGGTAGAAGGGATTCTTCTCTGCATCTGTACCCACATAGTTCTGGTGGACTGAGGGCAACAGAGAGAATACACAGTTAATATTACACATGAACAAAAGATATTTAACATGTGTGGACATCGCGATCAAAACATTAAAGTGCCTGGTGAACTGACTTCTATTTATCGGGAGTATAAAATGTGCTTTTTTACACATTTCCGTTTACTCTTAATGCCTGATTTCTATCCTTTCCCATTAAAATGTTTACGTATTTTATCCTCTGCTGTCTTGGTCTGTTTTTTTTTTTCTTTACCACTTTGGCCTCCTTCCTACCTTTTCTTTCCTTATTTCCTGTCTCCCTTTCACTCAAGCCCCCCCAGATACAAAGGTCTCCTGACACCACCACAGCAGAGTCACACATTCATGCTGCTGCCTCCCCGGTTGACAGGGCAACATCCTCAGAAACAATGCTGGACAGACCTCCCAACCCAATTAGATGCAGGATCTCTGCTGCCTCTTCCTTTGTCCTCCTCTAATGCTTTCTATCCCTTAAACATTTTTTTTTTAATTCCACAATTTCGCTTTCTTTCTCCGTTTGGTTTCCGGCTCTGTTCAGTCTTCGTTAGCCATGATTTTATGCTTAAGGCGACCAACGTCTTTACAAGGTTTTGCTCCACTAGTGCAGCTCGCTTGAGCATCTCCTTTGGTTACAAGAGAACACGTTCTGCGTTTCTATAATTGGTAATTATCGTCATATTTAAGGCAGGACAACAGGGAAACAAAGGGGGATAAACTGTGGTATCACTCTTAGCTTAATCATGTAGGAATTGAGAAGTGAAGCCATCGTCTTGCTGTTGGGTCTTCATCAGGCAGGAAGTGCTTGTGTTAGAATAACTGGCCTCCGGTTCATAATGTGTTGTGTTGTGTGATGCAGTCGGCTCTGCTCAGGCTGTGAGACACAGATGGCTCAGCTGCAGTCCAAACAGGTCGAGCCAACTTTCTTGAGACATGGCTCATTTTAAACTGCCCATGCCATAGCATGATTAGACCCTGGCTGGAGGAGAAAAGGGATTTCTTTTCCTTCCATAGCTGACTTACTCTTGTCTAATTTTATCCCTCATGTACAGCCATCGATCTCCAGCTCTCGTCCTTCATCTGAGCCTTTCAGTTGATGGTGTTTAGTCCTGATACAAGTCATGGTAAAGAAAGCCAGAGAGGAAAGACATGTTTCGCAACATGCATCACCGCCCACACAGTGAGTCTGAGAAAACAGGCAGGGCGTTAATGATGGCGAAACCATGAAGGGTCAGAAAGGTGAAGGAACAGGTGACCGAGTCGAATGTATTTTTAACAAACTCCTGCTTTTGCCAGCTTGCTGCACAGAGCTGGGCTCACAGTCCAATCTTCATTGTGTTATCTTGTAGAGGCAAGCCTTTCCCGTCTAGTGAGACTGTCTGTCCTCCGTGGGCCTTCTCCCTGGGCGGTGTACGGGATTAGAGTGTAGTTGAGACTCTCGTGGGGATATGGCTGCATGCTAACAGGTTTTGGCCTTGAATGAAGAGCGGTGCAGCATGACACTGACTTCATGAGATAAGAAGCGCTCATAGACAAGGGAAGACATTCAGACCATGTTTTATTTCTGCAACATCTAAAAACCAGCACCCTAGCTTCTTTCTCATGCCTTTAATTCTTCTGTCTTTCTCATACAAACTCTGTGTTTTTGTGAGTGAGTGTGTTTTTAGACAGAGAACAGCAGAGCAGCACTGACCTTTTCCCAGGAAGTATTTAAAGAACCATCTGGTGTGGTACTCTGGATTCTCCAGATGGACATCGGTTCTCCTCCAGGTTCCTGGAGTGTAGTCCGAAGTCTGTTTGCCACAAACACACACACACACACACACACACACACCACATTGTCATCATGATGGCCACAGCTTGAGTCGCAGCAGTCTACACTGTGGAAAACTGTTAAACAATACAGCAGCACAGATTACAGCACAGGGCAGGAAATGAGACGCAGCCAAACCTCCACACTATCAGAGTCGCATCATCATGTAAATAATCTAGATTCTCGATAAAATGGTGGGAAGCTAAAGGTTTGTAAGAGGCTCCCTGTGTCATATAGCATGACATCTGCTGCATTTTTGACTTAAAAACAAACACTGGAAACGCTGCAGCGAGTTTGACATAATGAAGTTGGTTAGCTGGCCATCAAATTGTTACCATATGGAACTCTATGAGATCTGGTGAGGAATACATCTCATGGAAAGACCTTTCGTATGCAGAGATATCAAGGTCAACACGACTTCTCTGCATTATTGAAGACTAGGTTAGCACCACTATAAAATACAGATGAAGTGTCCTGCATTGAGTTACACTGAGAGTCTACATGAGACCATTTCTACTCTGTGCAGTTCTTTCCATTAATATTTCTAGACATATACATCGGCTTGAACTATATACAGACTTTTCCCCTTTGCAAGTTTTGCAATAATGCAACACATTTAATAAGTAATGTAACTGTGACCTCTTTTCACGGGTGGCATGTCTGAGTTATGCTACACGAGGATCCGCTTGAGGATTCAGTCTTCGTAATGTCAATTTTGTCATGTGGACACATATGGACAGATTTTTTTTTTTTAAACAAGGGCAACAGCTAAACATGTTTAAAATGCCTCCTACACAGGTTAGAAAGTAGTATGATAAGATTAGCTGTGTTCATGGTAGAGCTGCACAATATATTGTTTCAGCATAGTCACACTGCATCCAGCTAAAGCTACTTAACTCAAACATATCAGGAATTGAGGAACAGAATTTATTCAGATTTAAAGGTACTTGGAGTTTTTTCTTTATTCATGGAGTTTGTCGACATGCAGGCTCCAGATGTGCACAGTGAAAAAAAGCAAGGAACCAAAGAGAAGCACTGACAAGGAAGATTTGGTTGCAGGAATGTCAGTCGAATGGAAACATTTCAGCTGCAGGAAGAATGACCAAAAACAGGTGGTCTGTCGGCAGTGTTTTGCAATTGTTGCTATCCTATGAGGCAACATGACTAAACAGTTTGACCATTAAAACCAAATTATGTTCAGTGCAAAGCCGGATCAGAGCATCATCCAAAGCAATAAGGTATTTCTGATGCCTTTCCCAGTGTTTCACCACATGATGAGAAAATACCATTCTACAGATATTTTTTCTAAAACTTCCACCTCAGAGCTCTGCTAAACCACTGCACTACTGAGCCACCCCACTACATGAGTCATGTTAAAGGAATATTTGTGTTTTACTGAGCCATAATGAGAAAATCAATACCGCCTTCATACAACCTGACAATTAGAGAGCTGTAGAGTTGCTGCTCTTTGCGTCCATTCTTTATGCTATACTAAGACACTCTGATGTTGGGTGTAACTTCACTTCAGACATGTTAGTGTTACCAACTTCCTCATCAAAAACCACTTCAAGAAAATATGAGTCATCACTGATAGATGTCCGCTATGTTACTGCCTCAATTAAAACTAGTTGTTCTAAGTTACTACTTTAAAAATAATCACACAACAAGAAGAAGAAAGAAAGAAAAGAAAAGAAACACATGCACCATTTACTGCCTGGCGTTGACGGCTGCTCGTCACATGCTGCCGTTAGTGCGACAGAGGCGATCGGTGAGATGCGCACAAAAGCGTATTATATTGTACGTACCTCATCTGACGAGCCATTCTCCACCCTGAAGCGTCCTGCCCGCTGAATGGCCCCATCTGCGTCACTGGAAATCAGCTGAGAGGGAGACAGAGACATGTTTAAAATTAGATACCTGAAAAAGCAAGACTTGGGCAGACAAGTAATAAGCAGGTCATAAACACATGAGAGGCGGCTTTGCTCACAGACAAAAAGAGGAAGCGCAGCGGACGCATCACCTCCATGTGACAACGTGAGCGCGACTGCAAACACACAAGCTGCAGCTGCATAGATTATCGACACTTCTTTAATCGTCAATCATGATTCAAGTCTCTGCAATGAGTCTGAACTCCCTCACGCTGCTGTAAAAAAAAACAAAAAAAAGGGGGTTTTATGTTCTTTTTTTTTTCCCTCCCTCATTTTCATCTGCCACCCTCTACTTATCGCCCAATTATCTGTCTCTTGCTGACTCACCTCTCTCTACTACAGCAGTGGAGAGGAGACATTATGAGAGCCAAATAAGACAGTTAATGGTAGTGTGGAGATTGAGCGAAACAAGAGAGGGCAGAGGACGAGAACAGACCGTATCCTGTCCACGACTTACAGAAACATTTTTGGGAAACGCCGAACGCTTGTTCCCTCTTGTCCTGATTGTTACATGAGATTTAGGTGATGGCCTGCTCCATCTGTAACCTCTGCACTTGTTGCTCCGTGAGTCAGAATGACGCAGTGTTCTCTACGCAAACCAAAAGGGAAAAAGTCAAAGCATTAATTTTAGACTATAACAGCAGCAGCAGAGAGTCGGTCCACTACAGTTTAATGTATCTCAACAACCGCCGGATCGAGTGCTATGAAGCTTTGAACAGACTTTTTAAATAATATTAGCGATTTGAAATTCTCATCAAGAGTCGTTATCAGATTCATAACTCAATTTGTGCACAGGAAACCTCAGCTCTACTCTGTGTTTAGTGCCATTTTTTTTTAAAAAAAAAAAGAAAAAAAAGAGAAAATGCTCATTAAAATAAGAGGGTAAATATTTTACTGGCAAAACATCTGCATGTTTTTTGTGGGCATGTAGCCACCCTAACATGGCTGTAGCCTCTCAGACTGTTAAATATATTATCCAGCAGTGGTTTGTGTCTTTGAAAGTACTTTTACGATCTCAAAGATGCCTTCTGTCTGCCTGAAAAGACATAATCTGATAATTTTCTGCTCTGTTCTTCTTCTTAACCGGAACATATGTTTACTTTGCTGCAGGCTGTACTTTGCCTGTCTTATATGAAATATACACTAAAAATCTAAGTTCATTGTACTTCTACATGCTCTTTTGTTTGCAATTCCTTAGGTATTCATTGCTATGTCACTGTGGATGTTCTTCAGCTTTAAAAAAGCTGTCCTGGTCTCATCTATTCTTGCTTTGCCATTTGCATCTGTACCTCCCTGTTTAAAGTAGTAAACAAACATAAGAAATTTTAGCCCACATTTAAACAGCTTTATGGTGTTGAAAGCTGGAGACCGACAACGATCACAATCAATGAAGTGCAAACCGTTATCATCAAGAAGAGATCTTAATGTCCATTGGCCAGACAAGATCAGCAATAATGATCTGTGCACAAGGACACAACAACTATCGACAGCAGATGCAAATTGAAAGGAGAAAGAGAGGTGTCAAACGCTACCAGAGAAGCTTTTAACACGACAACCTCACGGGAAGACAAAGAGGGCTGCCCAAGACCACCAGGTGAGGGGATCTCCAGGAAGACGCCAACAGAAAAAAGCTAAAGACCTCCAAGTGAGGAGCGTCAGGCATAAATATGAAAGTAAGCATTCCTTTGGTACATGAGCTAATCTAAAAATGTAAAAAAGAAAAAAAGTAACACCTAAAAATTGTGTGCAAAATAAAGGTCAACACACTGCGTTGACAGCTCAACAGTGCTAATGAGTCTGATGTTTAGTCATTGTTGCTGCTATAAACCATCATCCTCTTTTCCTTGTGGACGTCTGCAAAACCCCCTTTCAATCAATTCCTCTTCACGTCCCCATTCCCTTTCAACCCCCCCAGCACCGTCTTTCTGAATGATGCTGTGTTGCCAGGCAACGGACCACAGACTCGCTCCTCCCTTGCTGCACTTTCTCCTCCTGCTATTTTTTCTCTGCATCTTTGCCCTTTACTCTTTGACCCTCTTGACGTTTGCACTCTATTTTGCTGCCCTAGCCGACAGGGATCCTCGCTCTGCCAATGAGAAAAAAAAAAAAGTTCTGGCATGGCTGTGTATCCCTGCGCACCCTGTGATATGTCCAGATGGCCTAAAACGTCTGGAGAAGCCAAGAGGAAAAAGAGGATGAGAAGGAAGATGCTGTGAGAGCGACATTGAACATAGAAAGCTACGACATAGTACTTGTGGTGCAACTGACCTCTAGGAAGTCTAAACAGACACAGTGAAACTAAGCCTGCAACTGAGGACTGATTTTATAAATGAACCCCTCTAAACCCCAAAACCTGCTGATGGGTGTAAAAGCCATGGTATCAAAATGACACCATTTACTTGCACCAGAAATCAGAAAAACAAGGAGAATCGTTGGCTTTTTTGTTGTCCAGTGATCCTTGAACTTGGTGACTTTTGGTTTGTTGGAACAGTTAAACCAAATTTAAGATGAAACTTAGTCACAATTAGTTTATGCTACATATCTTGTTTGAAAATGCACCAAAAAAATTGTAGGCCCTAACCAGATTCTGTAAAAAACAAAAAAATCACAACAATGAAACTATTCGTGGTTCACCTGTGAACAACAATCACATGACAAAAATTCAGGGACTTTTCGGCTGAACTGTGTTTAAACAGCCCTGGACACAGTAATGTTGGACATGTTGATTAATTTCTTTTTCAAAATATTTTAAAAGAAACATTAATTTTTTCCTTTAAAAAAAAAAAAAAAAAGAAAAAAGATTTATGGCATTATAACTGTGTCATACCAGAGTTCTCTTTACTTCCAGTCATGGTTGTGCTGTTTCCACAGAGGTGCAGGATTTGATATTTCAGTGAAAAATGAGCCAAATTGAGTAAAAATTAGTGATGCACAAAATTAACATTTCTGGCCGATACAGATATCCGATATTAAGATTTCTGATATCGCCGATAACCGATATTACCGATGCCGATATATTTAATTTTTGTTCACACCGAAAAATGAGTATAAGTAAGCACTATGAGAACATGAAAACAATTCAAAAGAAGCCCATACCAAACTAGACCACATGGTCATAAAACATATTTAAACATATTTTACCATATTTAACGTTCAAGTCCAGGACCATTTAAGTAAAAAACATCTGTGAAATAGCAGCAATATCACATCGGCTAAATTTGTTTATCAGACCCATATATGACCGATATATGGAAAACAACACTAATAACGGCCGATACCGTTGTGGTCGTTGATATATCGTGCATCCCAAAAAATGCCAAGAAACTCCACGGGGGTTCAGAGGTTTAACTGTTCATCACTTATTGATTAACTGCTTGGCTTACTAAAAAAAAAAAAAAGAAACAGTGAGAAACTGTCCAAGTTGATGTTGATGACTTGTTTGTCAAACCAGCTGTCCAAAAACCAAAAGATGTTCAGCAGAAGCACGCTGTATCCATCGCGTACACAGGAATATTAACCATGTTTCTCATTTATAACATTGGTACGATATCCAGAATAAAGTCAAAACTCCAAAAAGATTAAAAACTAGCTCACTAATGTGCATGTAAGCGCAGTTATTACCTCAGATAAAACTTCAAGTAAAGTTTAAAGTGCCTGCCGTAAGGGGTTATGCATAATTATCAAGTGATAACTCAAACCATATTCTGAACGGCTGACAAAGTCTGTGCAAAACTAAGCGGGGCGCAGTGTTTATCGGTTTGGAGAGTGGGTGGTGTGCCCTACTTCAGCAGCTCATTAGATCATGTCAGACAGCAACAATGACGAGGAAGAGTGATGAGAGAGCACTTATCGTGGAGTGAGACAGAGGGTTAACGTCCATTCAAAACATTCCTGTGGGTAAGTGAGGACAAAAGGCGAGAGCTTTACATCCTGGAAAAAAAAAAAATCATTAATAACTGTCACACTGACTTTATTGTTCATGCTAAATTAAATCTGATATGCCGTACTGTAGCTGGGGGATTGGTGCAAAGCTCTTAAATTAAATTGTGCAACTTCAGCTTTACTTCAGCTGGACCTGACAGACGAGTACATGTTGTACCATGTAAATAAATGGTTATTTAGTTTCAATTTTCATGTCATGCTAAAAATTTGGCCTACCTTCCATACAAGACACCGCTTTTATGCCTTCTAACATTATCTGTACTTTCACAATAACATCCCAGGCTTCCTTCGAGCAACTGATGACCGAAACGATTAAACCAAAATCTTTCACTTGGAACGGCAGACTAAGTCTTTGCATCAATCTTTACCTCACAAAACAGATTCTTGCACAATTCCCAGGAAAAGAGGTAAAACAGAAAACAAAATCAAACTAGTTTTCAGAATCATTGAGATGGCACAAGGAACAAATCCACTTCTCTTCTTCAACACTGACATACCAGTGAGCTTCAACATTAAGATCTCAAATGAGGACAAAGATAAATTAAGGGGTTTAGCACCAAAGCGGACCAAACCACAACAAAATCCAAAGTGGAGCTTACTGTTTTCTTGATAAGTGTTTATGGTCTACTAGTTTGTGGCAAAGTGGACCAACCAACAGCCCACTAGTAACGTCACAATGCGGCTTTGAAGTTTGGCCCATAATGGCTTTGGCATGAAAATTTTGTAGCAAACCGGGCCAAGCCACAGAAATTGCTGACCATTACATCACGGGCACAGGTAGTTGCTTGTGTTTGTGATTCAAGATGGCGGACAGCGCGACCTCAAGTCCCATGAAAACTCAACTCGTAGTTACAGCAAGGTAAAATAAACACTTAATTAACCACCACCAAGCATCTATTTCTACCCCTTAGTCCTCAAAACTATCTGTAGTTACTTATGATGACCCATGTAAACTCTTCAATGCTGTTCAGCAAAACAAACCTTAAATCAGCTTGTTTCTCAAAAAGTAG